TTGTTCATATTTCTTATTACTCGTTTGAGATACATTTCTAGGGCTGGGGAAATGCCTCATTTGGTAAAGCACTTGTCTTGCAAGCAGGAAGACCTGAGTTTGGATCTCCAGGTACCATGGTGCACCTGTGTAATCCCAGTGCTGAGGCGGTGGGGGCAGTGAGGAAGAGCAGAGAGACAGATGAATCCCTGCAGTGGAATGGGAGTTTTGGTTTCTTTGTAAACTCAGTTATGTTATGTGAGTGTGTTTTTGTTTTAATCCCAAGTGTGGGGTTTTAGTTGGGCTTTAGTTTGTCCACAGCTGATAATTGTCACATACGGGCCATAGCCTTTGACAGCTGGTAATGTCTGCCTCGTGTGGCAATAAATATGAGAACCCAGGAAGAGAAGGGCACGTGTGTTGGTGGCGTGTGGCAAGTGGCAGTTTGAAGAGACCAGAGACAGTCAGTGTGGTGCTTTCGAGCAGACAGATGGAGAGAGGCGCTTCGGGGCACAGCTGCTTGAGGAGACTTCTAGCTGCGTTTGCTGTTGACTGAGATTGGTATAGCCCTAAAAGAACCCACCGACCCTAAACAGCTGGGAGAAGTAAAGGGGTCTGTGCCCCTTTCCCCACTAACCTTCTCTCTCCTACTTAGGGTGGGGGGTTGGAAGGGAGGGGCTTTAAGAAACTCCAAATAAATCAGAGTTTTTTTTAAAAAGTGTGGTACATTGCAGCTCACTGTCCATCTGCCCACCAGTCAGTGATCTCCACGTTCACTGGTTGATCAAGTCTCAAAAATCAGGTGGAGAATGACTGAGGAAGACACCCTTTGTCAGCCTCTGGTTTCCATACGCACATACACACATGTTCATATGCGCCCCCTCTATACCAGGCACGTGCACAAACAGAAGGCACACACGTGCATGCACACAGACACACACACACTTAAAAGAAAAAAAAAAAATCTAAATATGGCCACCAAGATCAGAGGGTAGGAATGCACATTGAAAACTCTTTTGATGCCTTTCAAAATTATCTCATTGAAAGGTATGTCTGATACTCCCTGAACAACATATGAGAACAGAGGCGACATTTCCACACAGTATTGTGACACAGTATTGTGTTGGTGAATCAGTTCATGTCCTTAAAGTGTAAACAGATCCCACCAGTCCACTAGAAAAAGATAAATACCTACTACCAGGAACCTTGGGCTGAAAATGACAGAAAGCTCCATTCAAAGTCATACATGGAGCCTGGAATCATAATATAGGCTTTTAATCCCAGCACTTGGGAGGCAGAGGCAGGCAGGATCTCTTTGAATTCTAGCCCAGCTTCTACATCATGAGTTCCAGTCAGGGCTACACAGTCAGGGCTTCACAGTCTCAAAAAGCAAAAACAAAACATCAAAACAAACAAACAAAAACAAAGACATACACCAAGGTAGGGCAATTTCCAGGTCTGTTAATTTACACACTTGGCTTTCCTAAGAGGACAGTACCAACCGTGCAGGAACCGAAGCCGCACTTCTGAGTTACCCTAGGTTGTCCACTGACTAGACCTACAGTATTCTGGTTTGCCTTCTGTTGCTGTGATAACACAGCATGATCAAAAGCAGCTGAGGGAGGAAAGGGTTTCTCTTTGGCTTATGTTTTGAGATCAAGGTCATCTTTGAGGGAAGACAGGGCAGGAACTGAAGCAGAAGCCAAGACGGGAACCATGGAGGACTTCTGCTTGTTGGATTGCTTCCCCTGCCCTGGAAAGTTCAGGGTAGAGGGTCGGGTATGCCAGCCATGCCCTGCAGCACATGGGGACTGAGGAATGCTGGGAGAACCTGGAGCCATTTGAGTTTGTCCCGGGTCTGAAGCACACCAGACCTGTTTCATCCCACTGCTACATTTATTGATTCCTAAACTAATCTGGCATTTTCCTAAACACTGCCTTGCACTTCTTAGAAAAAGTCTTGCTCTCTAGTAAAAAACAAAACAAAACAAAACAAAACAAAACTTGCCTACATCTTTTCACTTAGTGTATCACAACTAGTCTTAGCCCCTTTCTCTGCCACGTACGTCTTAGAAACACCTTCTCTGATTTTTTTTTTCCTCCACTGGAGTTTTGATTAGAAGAATAAACCTGAGAAAACTGATATATCTAAAGTGCCAAATTTTCCTATCCATGATCATGGTGTATATCTCCATTTATCTAGGGCTTCAGGTGGTGGGTTCTGCAAACTGAACCTGGGTCTTGCAAGAAAGCAACTGAATTATCTCTTCAACCCAGAAAACTTCAACAAATATATATGTATGCAGGTGTGATGGTGTACACCTTGAATCCTAGCACTTGGATTTAATCGAAACCCAACTAAATGCTTTATTTCTTATATCAGTTTTTAGGTTTATAGAAAAACTTGAAAGGAAGGTAGAAAGATTAAACATTTTAAAAGTATACAAAATAAATATTTTAAAAGGTACAAAACATAAATGTATAACATGATGAGTCAGAAGGACAGATGTGTAGCTATGTCTCAGTTAAAGAACACTGGCTGGAAGCCAGGCCTGCTGGTGCACGCTCGTAATCCCAGCACTCAGGGAGGCAGAGGCAGAGTTCGAGGCCAGCCTGGTTTACACAGCAAGACCAGGACAGCCAAGGCTACACAGAGAAACCCTGTCTTGAAAAACAAAAACAAAAATAACAACAACAAAAAAACACTTGCTGCTCTTTCAGAGGACTGGGTTTTGACTCCCAGCAACCTCCTGCAAGCCCACAAACATCAAGGGTGCCAGGCTTCCACATTCCCTTTCTTAAACTAAGAAGTGCTACGCATGTCACAGTGACTCACGCTCTACACACATAGATGCAGCCAAGACACCCATACACACTGTCTTCGTTTGGATTTTATTGCTGTGAAGAGACACCATGACCATGACAACTCTTATAAAGTAAGAGTTTTTAATTGGGGCTGGCTTACAGTTTCAGAGGTTTAGTCCATGATCCTCATGGCGGGAAGCATGGCAGCATGCAGGCAGACATGGTGCTGGAGAAGGAGCTGAGAGTTCTGCATCTTGATCCGCAGACAGCAGAAGGAGACTCTGTGCCACACTGGGTATAGCTTGAGCATAGGAGACCTCCAAGCCTGCCCCCACAGTGACACACTTCCTCCAACAAGGCCACACCTCCTAATAGTGCCCCTCCCTATGGGCCAAGCATTCAAACCCATGAGTCTATGGGGCCATTCCTATTCACACCACCACACACATAAAATAAATTTAAAAAGGGAATGTGGGCAACATTCCTTCTTAGTCACTGCTCTTTCTGAGTGGACGCACGTGAATGTGTTCACGTGCACGTGGAGGCCACCAGTGCCCTCCTCAGGGGCCATCCTCCTTGTTTTCTTGTGACAGGATCTCTCATTTGGCCCAGGGCTCACCACCTCCCAATATTACCACACTAAAGACCAAACCTACAGCAAACGAACTTTTGAGAACACATTCCAACCATATGCAACCTACCATAATGAGCAAAATGAGGGGCGATAAATGGGGAAAAACTTAAGTATCACTGGCAAGAAGGGAAATGCAAATTAAAATGATTACGAAGTGTCTTTTTTTTTATGTCTACTTCCTATCAAAATGTTTGGTGATATCATGTGTTGATAAGCAGGTAAAACATTGCTAGAAGGAGCACACAACTCATTTCACCAGTGTAGAGACTTGATCCGCTTGGAAAGGTTAATATTCATATAGCTTGTGACCCAGTTGTTCCGATTATAGTAATGCCAAAATATGCACAGAAGTATTTAGAGTTTGTATTTATTTATCCCCTTTCCAAGGGCTGGAGAGAACCAAAATGTCTCAAGAAAAAAAAATTTTTTTTGCATGATCATACTGTTGAATATTATGCAGCAGTACAAAAAGGATGAATTTTAGAAATGTTATACTGAATGAAAAAGGCAAGTGGTAAAAAATTACATTATGCTCTAATACACCCTAATATCCACTTTTGAGCTTGTTTTTATGCACATTAAAAAAGGGCAAGTTAAACAATATGCCATTTAGAAATTGATTCTTTTTAATGTATTGCTATATTTTATTTACTAACAATTTGTTAGACTTTTTTTTTTTTTTTCTAATGACAGGTACGGTTTTCCTGTTCTATCTTTGCATGATTTTGATACTGATATAATCTCCCTGAAAACAATTTGTCAGTTGTAAGGAATGTCTTAAAAGCCTGAAAGAGTCACCTTTGAGAATCTTAAATAAGCAACAGATTCTAATTACACACAAACTTCGGGCTCTCAGGGCACGGCCTCATGCTCCCTGTTTAAATATTGTGAATCTCTTTTTCAATTTGTAAAGCTGTGGGTAAGAAAACCTACCCTACACACAGTTCGCTTAGTTAAAGCTTTAGGTCAATGGGAGCTCTTAGTCCTCCAAATTGGACACCATTTTTGGTGTTCTATTAGCTTCTACTTTGAATCTCTTTGATAATGACTGCTTTCTAGGCCGAGGATATTCAAAGGCTTACAACAACATAACAGCTAGGAACAGATACTGTATTTCAGTGATGGGACGCTTGCCTAGCACCCGTGAGTCCCTAAGTTCAATTCCTTGCAGCGAGTGGGGAAAGTGTGGGGAGAGGGTTGGAACCTATCGGAAAGGGGCACACCACATCTGCTCGCCCTTTTCTGGGATTCCCGAGCCCTGGACTTGAACTCACGGCGTCTGCCAGGCTACCGGCCGTCCCCACGCCTCTCGGCCAGGAAAGAGGAAAGCAACTTTTCCTGGTAGCAGGGCGGGAGAGCCGCTCGCTATTCCCATAGCAACCGGACTGGCCAGCATCCGAAAGGCCACCCGGCTCTGCTCGCAGAGTCCCACGAGGCCACTTCCAGCCTCACTTCCCAGCCGCGCGCCCAGCTCCGCTGTAACACCTTTCTGATTGGTCCCAGCAGAGGGAGGGGCGGGCTTACAACTTCTCAGACTCGGTAGGCTTCACTGAGCGGAAGTCGACCTGTCTCGCCCCGGAAGTGAAACTGTGGTCCAGCCGTCAGGGAATCTTCAAGTCCCGGGACTGTGGTAGAGATGCCGGGTGCCGCAGGGAAGGGCTCGGAGCTGTCCGAGAGGATCATGGGCTTCGTAGAAACTCTGAAGCGAGGTGGCGGGCAGCGCAGCTCGGAGGACATGGCTCGGGAGACCCTGGAGCTGCTGCACCGACTTATCACGGACCACCACTGGAGCAACGCGGGTGGGTGCGGCAGACCCGGCCTCACTCCTTCCGTCCTCTTTTTCTATTCCTGAAGCTCACCGCGCTCCTGCCCCGCTCACCCGGGTCTCCCTTGGGTTGCAGGGGAGCTGATGGAGTTGATCCGCAGAGAAGGCAGGAGGATGACGGCCGCGCAACCCTCCGAGACCACCGTGGGCAACATGGTGCGGAGAGTGCTCAAGATCATCCGGGAGGAATATGGCAGGTCAAGCTCACAGCCTGGGCTCTTGGTGGGACCAAGGGTGCTTTTTCTGTCCTTAGAACCATGTCTCCTAGGAGAGCTTGGAGCCTCTGTTGCGGCTGAGCTGCTCCGGTTGCCCCTCTGATCACTCCACCCTCCTCCTTCTTGGGTCTTGTTGCCTCCTTAGACTGCACGGGCGCAGTGACGAGAGCGATCAGCAGGAGTCCCTGCACAAACTCTTGACATCCGGAGGCCTGAGCGAGGATTTCAGCTTCCATTATGCCCCACTTAAGTCCAACATCATTGAGGCGATTAATGAGCTGCTAGTGGAGCTGGGTAAGAGGTCTGATCACTAAGTGGACAAGAAAGGTTGCAGGCAGGTGAGGAAACAAGCCCCCAGAAATTGTTCATTGACAGACCTAGGCGAGATTACCAGTCTTGTGGTTTCCGTAGTTTGATCACTATCTGGTTGGAATGGATAGAGAAACACCAGGACTATTGTTACTCCATCTTTCAGGACAGACCTGCTCGCTAAAAGCACTTTAAGATTTGAGGTGTGGTGGCCCACGCCTTTAATCCCAGCACTCAGAGAATGCAGAGGCAAAGGGAGGCAAAGGCAGGTGGATCGCTGTGAGTTTGAGGCCGTCTTGGACAGTCAAGGCTACACAGAGAAACCCTGCTGCCTTGAAAAACCATGACAAACAAGCAAGAAGTAACCACCACTAACAAAAACATTAGGACTAAGATTTCTATTAGGGCAGGTCTTTTTTGTTGTTGTTCTTCATTTTAAAGCAAACGAGCTTGCTGGGGCTCAGTGGAAGAGTACCATATTTGAGGCCCTGGGTTTAATTCCCAGCACTGGGTAAACAGAAAGTGAATTCCCCAATGCCATATTTGGAAGATTTCTTTTTCACTAAACTTCTTCTTGACTTTAACAAATATTTATTATGATTGCGTGTATGTGTGCATGTGTGGAGGTCAGAGTCCAACTTTGTGGAATTCTGTCCATCCACCGATATGTGGATTCCTGAGATGGAGCCCAGGTTTCCAGGTCAGAGCAGCAAGCATATTTATCCACAAGCCATTTTACCCACCCTTAGGGTTAGGAGAGATGAATGGCTCAGCAATTAAGAGCACTGGCCACTCTTGTTAAGTCCCTAGGTTCAGTTCCCAGCATCCACACAGTGGCTCACAGCCACCTGTAACTCCTATCCCAGAGGATCCAATGACCTCCACAAGGACCAGGAACACAGAGCAAACAGAAATACATGCAGGCAAAACACTCATACAATAAAAATAAATAAAGATACACATTTTTTTTTTTAAAGGGGGGAGATTTACAGAAAAACAAACCAGGTACTGTCTATGCCCCACACTGCCACTTTCAGACTCCTCTGTTTTGTTTTGTTTTTTCTCTCTGTCCCCCGCCCCCACCCCCATGAAGGTGTTGTGGCCACCTTCGGAAAGAAGAGCTCTGTTAGGGGCAGATCTGTTTATAGGTTGCACTCCAGGATTTCCCAGGCTGCCTCTGTCAGGTTCACTCATAGAGCAGTTAGTTGTAGGGAGCTAATGGCAGAAAGGTGACTGATGAGCGGGAGTGCTGCTGAGGAATGGGGCAGGCAGACAGGTGGAGGTCGAGGATGCTTGATGCTTTCAAGAGGTTGGGATGTTGCTGCTACCAGGTCTGCCAGGCGGGCAGTGTGTAAGAAGGGCAGGCCTTCCCTTCTGAACCATTGCCGTGCCTGTCTGGGATGAAGCGTGGCGTTTTCACATTCCCTGGAAAAACTGTTCTTACAGAAGGCACAACAGAGAACATTGCAGCCCAGGCCCTGGAGCACATCCACTCCAACGAGGTCATCATGACCATTGGCTTTTCTAGAACAGTGGAGGCCTTCCTTAAAGAGGCAGCCCGGAAGAGGAAGTTCCATGTCATTGTTGCAGAGTGTGCTCCTTTCTGTCAGGTAAGAGGGGCTTCTAGAGCTGCTAAAGGTGAAGAGGGAATAAAGGAGGGATGGGGTGAGTCCGAGCCAACTATGACTTGATTAGCATGACCTCGAGTCATTAAGAAAGTAAATCATGCCAGCTGTGGTGGCACAGGCCTTTAATCCTAGCTGTAGGGAGGCAGAGGCAGACGGATCTCTGTAAGTTTGAGGCCAGAACTACAGAGTGAGTTCTAGGACAGCCAGGGCTACAGGAAAAAAGGAGGAGGAGAAAAGAATTGAAAAGCAGAAGAGGAGGAGGAGAAGAAGAAAAAAAAGGATTTAGTCCCTGCACTGGGGAAGCAGAGGCAGGTGGATCACTGTGAATGTGAGGCCAACTTGGTCTGGTCTGTATAGTGAATTCCAGGCAAGCAGGGGAAACACACACAGAACACCTAAAAGATCTTTAAGGATTTTCAGGTTGCTATAGATACATTTAAATATTAGTTTAAGAAAGCTGAGTAAATTGCTGGGTCCAAGGAAAAGAAATACTGATTCTTTAGGAGTTGCAGTAGGACATGTTATCTTGGGGATGACTGGTGTTTGATTTGATCTCACTCAATCCTTGAGTAAATAATAGGTCTCAAAAAAAAAAAAAAACATAAGATGTCAGATGTTGTAAAATGAGTCGGGAGCTAGTTTGCCAGCTATGCTGATTATGTAAGCAGCTGTATTTCCAGTTGTGTAGCTGCTCTGGAGTGACATTTATTAGCGTCCCTGTGGCTTACCAGACTGTGTACACCACAGATAGATGAGTTATCCTGGAAATTAGATTATAGACGCTTCTAGATCCAATTGCATTTGTCAGCTCTTGTCACTGTATCACTCTCTCCCAGCATTGGCCTTTCCTCCTGTTTCAGGGTCATGAGATGGCTGTCAATTTGTCCAAAGCAGGCATCGAGACAACTGTCATGACTGATGCTGCCATTTTTGCTGTTATGTCAAGAGTCAACAAGGTGGGAGGCACTGGAATCCCTGATGAATTCAGGAAGTTATGCTTCTAGAATACTGACTTCTTTTTTTTTGTCTTGTGAAGTCCATGGTGAGAGAAAGTTTCTAGCACTGTTTGAAAGTGTGCACTTAGGCCCCCCTTCATCTGTTAGCTGGCTTTATTTCCCCCTGCCCCCACTTAGAATAGCCTCAGAAAATGGTTAAAGCATTGAAAAGAATGAAGTAGAACTGAGCTAGGAGTGCTAGCTGTTAGGGATTTGCTATGGGTGTGAGCTCACAGTGTGGCGAGGCTGGGTGCTAAATGGCCAGGCTCTTGGGTTCCTGGGAGGGGCTGCACATAGAGTTCCAGGAAAGACTGGGGGAAAGAATGGGTGTTGCAGCTTCCCGTCCTATGCCATGTTCAGAAAAGCTGGAACTTGCTAGTCTGGAGCCTAGGAGGCTCCCTCTCCTTCTGCTGCCTGTGAGCCCTCCAGACGCTAAGACACAGGCCTGAACATCCAGCCAAAGGCCCTGTTAGGACTCCACCCCAAGGTGGCTCATGTTTCTTCTTCTTCCAAAGGTGATCATTGGTACAAAGACTATCCTGGCCAATGGTTCCCTGAGGGCTGTGGCAGGAACTCACACTCTGGCCCTGGCAGCGAAACACCATTCTACCCCGCTCATCGTATGTGCACCCATGTTCAAGCTTTCTCCACAGGTGCGTCACTTTGTCTCTAGCTAGTAGCTAGCCGAGAAGGAAGCCATGTGTGTGCTTGAGATGCAGCCTTTAGCTTGCTCCAGAGTCTTCTTTTGATCTGTTCCTTGCATAATAGATTTGATCCACCATGGGCTAAAAAGGGCCATAAATCTTTTGAGCCAGGAGCAGAATCAATAGTTAAAATCCTGATAATGTCAGTATAACACAGGACAGAGAAAGGCTCCGTATGCCCAGTTGTCACTATTCTCCATTGCCCCCGAACACTTCTGAAAATGCCAAGCCGGTTGAAACTAGGATCATAGAACCCCCTCTCCCCCATTAATCCAGGACCTGTCCTCTGCAGCTGATATAGTCATTTGACAGTGACCGAAACTATTTATATAGGAACAACCTATGTCTGCATGGACATACCACAGTTTAATTAACCATTTATTTATTGAAATTTTTAAAAATTATTTTGCATTCATGTATGTCTGTGCACCACGTGCATGTCTAGCGCCCAAGGAGGTGAGAAGAGGGCCTTGGATTCCCTGGAGCCTGAGTTGTGGATGGTTGTGAGCTGCCACGTGAGTGCTGGGAATCAAACCCAGGCCTTCTACAAGAGCAAGAAGTCCTTTTAGCATTGAGTCATCTCTTCAGACCCCTAACTAACTTACTATGTGTTTATTGTTGGGTTTGGGTTACTTATGCCTTTTAGCTCCCGTAAATAATGCTGCTTTAAGCAGTTATATATAAATTTTCTGTGGGTCGTGTATTTCTAGATGTCTTGCCTACATGTCTCCGAGTGGAACTGCTGAATCTCTTTAAAAAATATTTTTTCTTTTTTCTAGTTTCCCAGTGAAGAAGATTCATTTCACAAGTTTGTGGCTCCTGAAGAAGTCCTTCCTTTCACAGAAGGTACAGTGGGGTGTGTGTATATGTGTGTGTGTTTTGTTTGTGTGTATCTTGTGTAGAGAACATTTTCAGTTGCTGTAAGGAGTCATTTTGATGAATTGGCTCCTCAGTCCAGCAAGATCTAAAATATTTGTACTTGCAAACTCGCCTGTAGCCTACATGCCCCATGTTTTCTCTTGGGTGGGGGGACAAGGGGGTGTTTCTTTGTTTCACCTGAAGGCAGCAGCTCTGCTCTGTGATCCCACGACCTCATCAGCAGCCCAGCTGGCTGTGCACACCGCGAGAGAACAGAACACTGTACGTGTTGTCCTGGTTCTTCTTAGAAGCGGAATAATTTCATCCTCTTATTTAAATAGCTTTTGAAACCAGGCATGGTGGCGCTTACATGCCAGCCCTTGGTGGGGAGCTGAGGCAAGGGGCCCACCAAAAATCCCAACCATCCTAGTCTATGCAGTGAACTCCAGGCCAACCAGAGCTGCGTGAGGAGGCACTATCTCAAAAATCTAAAGGAAAATAGATGCCTATTACTCACTCGCTGTATTTACATCCAGGGAATAAAATAAGGAGGCATTAAAGCCCTGTTCCCACAGACTTAGGTTGCAGATGACGGGCAAGAATACTGTTGGGTCTGGGAGTCCTGTAGGAAGAAAACATGATGGTGACAGGATTGAACCCAAGACTAGTGAGGGTCTCAGATGACGTCATCCACTGTGTGAAGATACTGTGAAGATACGGGGAGCTTTCCAGGGACTGTGCAAGGCAGGAGAAGAGAGTGTTTAGCCAGCTGGAGAAAGCTAGTCATGTGACTGGGCTATTGCAAGCCCTGGGGAGAACAGTTCAGATTACAGTGTGGTTTGGTGGAGGACGACTAGACTTTTCAGGCTGTGGTCTTGAATTTGAATTAAAAAAAAAAACAAACTTGAAAACATATGCATGGGTATTCTCTTGTATGTCTGTCTGTGCACCACATGCAAATCTGGTTCCCTCAGAGCTGGAAATGGACATTGGATCCCTTGGAACTGGAGTGACAGATTGTTGTAAGCTTTTGTGTGGTGGTAGGAATGAAAGCCAGGTCCTCTGGAAGAGCGGCTAGTACCCTTAGCCAGTGAGCCACGGCTCCAGCCTCAAGTCTGGATTTTATTTGAGCGCTATGAAAAGACATCGGAGAGGTTGCTTTTACTGCTGTAGTTTGGTTTGAGCAGCATCTCTGGCTGTCCTCACACGGCCGTCCTCACACTTGCAGTCCACCTGCCTCAGCCCTTGGAAGACAGTAAAGCGAGAATCAGGGTTCGGAGCCATCATGCCCAGTTTAGGTTCTGCCCCAGCTTCCCAGTGTGCCTGCATTATGAACTCAGACTCTGCTGCCTGTGACAGCCGGATCCTCGGTTCTCTCTCTAGCATGTGATTGTCTTGCAGGGGACATTCTGGAGAAGGTCAGTGTTCACTGTCCCGTGTTTGACTACGTGCCCCCCGACCTCATCACCCTCTTTATCTCCAACATCGGTGGGAATGCACCATCCTACATCTACCGGCTGATGAGCGAGCTCTACCATCCTGATGACCACGTCCTGTGACACTGCCTGTCCTCAGGCAGCTCAGACCCGGAGAGGAGCGGAGACCCAGTGCTTCCGCCACGGTGGGGAATGGAGAGTCAGCTGATGCCCCTCAGCCTTTCTTTCCTTCCCACTCGGCCCCACAGGGAGGCGCGTGTCTGGTACTGTTCTTTCCCTCGGGGCTTACCTGAGCAGCAGGGCTAACCCCTTGATTTTGGAGCCACATTGTGACCAGGCCGTGTTTGTTTCAGGAACTTCAACCTTCTGGCTTAGTGGGGTGTTACACATACCAGGACTACTTTCCTTCTGGGTTGGTGTTTGCTCAGAAATGGCTTCCAGACCTTTTTTTAGGCTGTGCCAATAAAAGCTACTGGAAACTCCCAAGTTCGTTTATTGTTTAGAGGTCTGAATGAACTGATTAGAGGGGAAAGCCTGAAAGAGGAAGAAATAAAAGTAGTTTCTTCTTCCAAATCACTGGAAAGGGCCCCAAAAACTTTACAGTAATCTACGGTAATGGCTTTAAGACTTGAGCATCATGGAGCTTAAAAGACACTGTCTTGGGGTCCGCTTCTAGACTGCTGTATCAGCTCTTGGGAAGAAGGAAAGCAGCTCAAAGCTTTCCTTTCGGAAGAGGCGAGGTAGTCCAGGAGGCAATTTGGAGCCTACACTTGCAGAATTACTTGAAGGGGGTGCAAAAGTGATCACTGTAGCATAATGTGCTCAGCAATAGCCGGAAGGGAAAGTGAATGTGGCCTCTACCCCACAGCTCTGTGTGGCCAGCAGGTGAGGCTTCCGAAGCAGCTGAAGCAGTGTCGGGGTGGAAAGCATTTTGGTTGATTTTCCCAGCCCTGAATTTGAATTAGTTCTCAATATTAAAAAATCTAGAGAGGAGAACACTTAACAAATTCCGATTTCCTGCTTTTCTGAAGACTCAGATCTCACTGCTCCTGACCCACATTCTCAAAAAGCAGGTGTGTGGCTTCCCGAGGGACTGCGCTGGTGGCCCGCCTGCTGGAGAGTGCAGCAGCCTTCCACATGGTTGTAGCTGGCTACAGCTGGCCGACATAATTCCTGTCAAAGGCCTACTCACGTTACCCTTCAGAGTGGGAGATATTTGTAAGGAAGTCCACTTCTATCCATTAGGGAGGCAGTGAAAGGACAAGCAAACAGTACGTAATATGACCCTTACCTCCACTAAAGCACTGCACATACATGCAGAGTCAAGAGTTGGAAGAAGCCCAGCGGTAGCAGGCTGATTATACTTCATGTAGATTCCAGCCCTATTTGTACTTTACAGTGTAGTTTGGAAAAGTCTCTCCTTGAGAACCGAGTGACTGGATCCACCAGTCTGAAGATGACTCCCTCATCACATCTTGTCACAAAGGCTCATCCTCACCTCTTGTGGCAGTGTCTGGATAGAGGGAAGCAGCTTAGGAATGTGCATGTTTAACCCCTACAACCCTGAATGATTTGGAAGGGTAGTTTGATTCAATTCAATAAACTGCTGGAATTAAGTTATAAGGGAAAGGCCCCGGGGCCTTTTTGAGAGGCCTCTGCGTTGCATTTGCTGGGTGATGGTTATAAGATCAAAGAGGGTCAGCCTGAAAGTTCTAAGAGGAACCTGACTCACTCAGACTTCTGCCAATTATTTTTCACGCATAGAAGACTTTTTTTTTTTTAAATATTTATTTATTATGTACACAGTGTTCTGCCTGCATGTGTCTGCATGCCAGAAGAGAGCACCAGATCTCATTATAGATGGTTGTGAGCCACCATGTGGTTGCTGGGAATTGAACTCAGAACCTCTGGAAGAGCAGACAGTGCTCTTAACATCTGAGCCATCTCTCCAGCCCCCAACCCTTTGCTTTCTTATGAAGTGGCTCATGTCTGCCAATTACAAGCCATTGTCTCCTGTGACACCAGTTCTAATGGCAATTCACTCGGGTACAATTGTGTGGTTTGGAGGAAGAACAGCAGCGAGTCAAGGACTTTAAATCGGTCTCTGGCTTGCAGTGACACTTTTTGTGCATCCCAGTCTCTGTCTAAAATTAGCACCAGTGTCCTTCCAGACAGGACTGAGACAGATGACGGTGGGACAGAAGCTGTCCTCGAGCCAACCCTTTCAGTACCCACAAGCACAGGATGGCGCTTTGGCATCTATAACCTCACATAAGTCGGCTGCACCAAGCCTCGTTTTCTATCCCTTCTCTTTCCTTTTCTGTTCAAGGAGAGGCCAATGTGGGGAGAGAAGACACGTTCACTGTTCAGGGATGACTTGCAAGCCCCAGCCTTCCCAGGCAGGACCCAAAAAGAAACTTGAAGCTTTGAAAGAATCATAGAAACAAGATCCACGGATGCAGATGTCTTCCTGAATACACCAAATAAACCGCTAGATAACGAGTGCAGACACTTGTTCCCACGGCTTCTACCTTCCAAGTTGGGCAGAGGGCAGGAAAGGCATAATTCTTGGAACTTGAATAAGGAACAGAAACTCTTCATTTAGCTTCAGAAGTCTGAAACAAAAATACTCTCCCCACGAGCAACTTAAGTGTAAAGTGATCCTCAAAGCTGGTACTCACAGGGTAGGTTTCACAGACATGCTTCAAAGCCATTCAAAACAAAACAAAACTTGCATTAGTCTTTGGATTACAAAGTCTGCCTTGTCAAATGGCTTTACTGCTGAGCTCTACAGCTCTGTTAGCTTTCCATACGTACACCTTGGTACATCAAAGCCACTTAACCACGCATGCTGACAGGCAGTGATAAAAAGGCTCTACAGTCGTCTGACCTCTCCAAGTCCTTGTGTAGGGTGGCTTTGGACTCAATCGGATAAAGCCTGGTAGAAGGATAGACCAACTCCCACAAGTTGTTCTGTCTTCTACACATGTGTGCATGTATACACATGTATACACAGTTCACAAAAACACACAAATGAAACAAAACCCTCCCTCAGTGGATGTGCACCAAAGTTGACGTAAGGAAGTATTTTGAAAGGAGGCCTGGAAGTACCTGGTCTGCTTCTCTGTACATTACTGTATGCGGTGCCAAGAATGGAACCCGAGGCCTTACGTGTAGTAGGGGAGCACTCTGCCACTGAGCTACACCACCGGTCCTTGCATTCACCGAGCAGCTGCGCCAGGGTACCGTGCGGCAGCCACACCATTATTACTGAGGACCTACCATCTCGGCAGCACTCACACACTGAAGGTGTTGCAACTGGGACAGTGATTGCTGGATGCTGTGAGCAAATGCTGAGCCAAGGAGAATGCTGAAGTGGTCTCCCCGTCCCTGGGCATGGTGCATTTAGAACTAAGACCTGCCCAGGGGAGAAGCTAGCGTGTGGTGAGTGTGCAAACCCTCACTCATCCCTAAACTCATCGCCTGTAGAAGTCTGCAGGCTAAGGAAAGAGAACCCAGAGTTGAATAAGGAGAACTAAGCAGGGCACCGGCTCACTGTTAATCCCAACACCCAGGAGGCTGAGGCGGTAAGATTACAAGTTTAAGGTGGCCTGGGCTGAAGAGGGAGTTTCTCTGTGTAACCTTGGCTGTCCTGGAACTCAGTCTGTAGACCAGGCTGGCCTTGAACTCAGATTATCTGCCTGCCTCTGCCTCCCCAGCACTGGAACTAAAGGCGTGCGCCACCACTGCCTGGCTGGTTCCCAAAATATGTTCATCATATTTTGATGAACACTGCCAAAATGGAACTCTCAAGAATGGTTACGCTTCACATCTCATAACTTTTACTCTGAAGGTACCAACAAAGTATCATAAAATCGAACCACTAAGCTGACAAACGAGTAAACTCCATAAATTAAAATTATTTTTAAATTTATTTTTATTTTATGTGCACTGCTGTTTTGCCTGAATGTGCCTGTGTGAAGTAGTTGGATCCCCTGGAACTGGAGTTACAGACAGTTGTGGGTCCTACAATTTGAACCTGGGTCCTCTGGAGGGGCAGCCACTGCTCTTAGCCCCAGTTATTATTTTAATCTCCAGCCCAATTAAAATTATCTTAACTTACTTCATTTAATAAAAATGTCACACAGGCAGAGGACCCAGGTCCCGCACCCACATGGTGGCTCAGAACCGCCTCTAACTTCTTGTTCCATGGGATCTTATGCCTTCTTGTGGCCTCTGCAGGCATCTACAGACAGGTGGTGCACACACGCTCACACATATATCCACAAAAATAATAAATCTTTAAAATATATTACATGGGCAGGTGGGGACCAGGTGGCAGGAGGTGGTCCAGGCACGACATGCACATACTGGGCCCCACCTGAGGGCACCAGTGCGGCCTAGGGAGTCCTGCAGTTAATGTCCAGTGGCCTACGATGGTGTCCTGGATGATCTGAGCCGGGGTGCTGGTGTTTGGAATTCTCTAGCTGGCATACTATCTATACACAGAGGTGTGAGGATGAAAAATGTCAAGGAATATTGACACTCGGGAGCCGGAATATCCATTTCAAAATGAGCAATCCGGAAGGGTGGGTGGAAGACATCCAGAGGCCAGCCTGCCATGTGGCCTGCCCACAGCAGGAGCCACTGCGATGTGCAAGCATGTGGTGGGGAGAAGCAGAGGGTTTATGCACTATCAAGAGAGCTGAACTGGAGACACGAGGGCAGAGAGGAATAGCCTGGCTCTGAACCTCACAGACAGCACAGTAGAGCCGGCCCCGCCCCTCCCTGGCTGAGACACTGGCCCTGAACCTCACAGGACAGCACAGAGCTGGCCCTCGTGGCACAGACGCAGGCAAGCTGGCCTGAGGGTGTGAGCGTGGGAGAGCTGGCCACACCATTTGTCTGCGGTATGGTAGTGTGGACCAGAGAGAGATGGGCCCCTCATCCAAGTCTGGACTGTGGAAGGTAGAGAACTGACTCTCACAAGTCATCCTCTGGCCTCCGCATACACCCGAGCGCGAGTGTATACACACACAGACACACTCATAAACAAACAAATGTTTAAAAATTACTAGGATATATCAGAAAATTAAGTGTGTCTTTGTTCTTATGGTCCGTGAGTTAAAAGGGACAAAATAAAACACTAATAGGCAATAAAAGTAATCTACTGGATATTTTTGGCTAATAAGTTGTTTTCATGCTGATGAAAGCAAATGAGTTTATAAATTATTAAAAGATAATTGTCTCCTTGCTTGAACCAGGCCAGCCAGGAAGGCATAATTCATAGAAAATATTTTCTGATTCTCTGCTCCCCTTGGAAAAACAGGAGTTGGCAATTACACAGAAGCCTTCTGAGGGTCGCTCGGTCGCTCTGTTAAGAAGTACTCTACCTCTTTGAAGCCCCGTGAACCGGCTGACAGAAAAGAATTTTTTTCACATTCTTGGAAGTGAAAGCATAGTGAGTCATGCCTGGAGAAGTAAAGACAAAGGGCATCCTCAGCTACATCTGAGTTACTGGACAGCCTGGGCTACAGGAGACTCTGTTCCCCACCCCTTTTCCTCCTCACCACAGTGTTCTCAAACAGCTGGTCTGGGACAGGCTGAAGGTGCTGTAGGCCACATCTCCCCACCACACACAGGCAAGACGCTCTGAGCACATGACACACCCGCTGGTACAGCTCTGGGGAGAGAGGCCTGTCCTAGACAGTGGGGCCTATTCTTCCCGGTTCCAATGATGAAACTACCAGGATGGGCAGGAGAATGAGGGCTGGTCCCGTGAACCCGCCCTGAGGCCCACGCTCATAAAGGCATTACTTTCATCTCTGCGATTCACTCCAAGGCTACTGGCAAACACATTCTCCCATGAGCACACATTAGTTTCCTGCACTTAAAAATAATAGAGAATCATCTCATTGGTACAAAGGCCGTTGTGAGCAGGATGGTGAGGAAGTGCTGCCATGGACAGCCTCCTCATAGCATCTCGTCGCTCACACAGCACCGAGTGAGATGCCTGCAGTAAGCGTTATCAGCTGGATTGCAAACCCCTCCCCCACCCAGCCCTTTAGTCAACTAATTTGAAAAGCAGGGAAAATACAAATGAAAAGAAGTATAACAAGCATTTTCCGAAAGATCAGTCCTGGTCCCAAGTGAAAGTCTATGGCCATTAGGCACAATGTAATAAAACCAGCACACGATGAAAAAGGACCAAAGAACCTTTGTCTTCTGTGAAAAGAAGATGCATTCTTGGTTAGGATTAAATAAATGCTGCACTTTGATATAATAATTACTTTCATTGTAGAAACTATAAAATTCATTAAAAAAAAAACCAAACCCAGTATTTTTTAATGTTTTAGTTATTCAGGATATGAACATTCACTTCTGGTTTTAAAAAGCAGTAAGACAATCAAAAAACCAGGGTAAGATGGCAAATTTTCTTGTGAGGAAGTAGTAGCACATGCCTTTAATCCCAGCCCTTGGGAAGCAGAGGCAGGTGGATCTCAGGGTTGAGGCCAGCCTGCTCTACAGAGCAAGTTCCAGGACAGCCAGGGCTACACAGAGAATTAAAAAAAAAAAAAAAAATCAAGCTTTCTCTATTCTAACTCTATGCTTCTCTTTGCCAATAGTTTCTTATTTATTTTGAGACAGGGTCACTACAGCCTAGGCTAGCGGTGACCTGCCACCCATCTTGCCTCAGCCTCACATGTACTGGGATTCAGGTGTAAGTCACCACACCCAGCTATAAATAATTTTTAATCCCCCAAATAACTGAAGTCTTGCTGGAAGACATCAGACAACATTTTTATAGAGAGCAAAGAAACACCATCAATCTGTAACATAAAATGTAAAGAAGCAGGAGTGAAGCGAAGAAGACAAATGTAAAACAGGACTGAATGGGAGAGGAGGAGGCTGGGCCCGGGGACCTTGAGGACAGCAGAGCAGCCCCTCTGGTTTCGCATCTTCTCACATAAAGTAAATTGAGAGGCTGGGGAAATACTGCTCAAAACAGCAGCCACACCCTCAAACTAACCAACCTACCAATTACAAAAATCATACATTTTATCACCCAATCAGTTTACAAATGATAAGCCTTACATGGCAAACTCCTGTGTCCACGGGTGCAAAGGAATGAACTGTCCTTAGGCTTGAGTGCATCTGCCTGCTCAACTAGAAGGACCATCTGATCCAGGAGACTGACCCACTTACGGCCGGCCGGCTGACCCGCCTGCTCACAGCCGTACCACCCCAAGTTGCTCATGCTGTCTGTCGGAGGCACACCAGTCCTCTTGGCTCCTTACAGATCTGCAGTTTTCTTCTCATGGTGGTTCACAAGGGGGCATGGACTGCTGCAGGTTCTGCTTTTATCACAGCCTTCTGCTTTTCCAAAGAGATGCCAGGCACGGGCCATTTTTCGGAGTTTAGCAAGATTGGGTTTAACCTATGAAAAGAAAGAGAATAACTATAATTAACACTTTTTCAAAGTACTTCGAAGTATGACTCTCCAAATGTGTTTAGATTTCTCCTCAGACCTGAACTGTAAGTCTAGATTTTTATCTCCTCAGTAATGGGGACTTTCATAGACATGGGTTGTTGTGGAGGGGCAGCGGAGCTGCTTTGCCTGTATGTATGTCTGTGTAACATGTATGTGCATGCCTTGTGCCTGCAGAACCCTGACAGAAGAGGTTAAGTCTCTTGAAACTGGAGCTGCTGACATGTGAGCCTCCATGTGGATGCTGGGAATCAAACCCGGATCCTCTGGAAGGGCATCCAGTGCTTTTAACCAGTAAGCCATCTTTCTAATCCCTTAAAATAAAAGTTTTAGTGGAGTAAAATCAACTGGATAAATCAGGGAACATAAGACGTCAATGCAAGCAAAGACTTTACAGCAAGAATCAGAAGCAAAAGAAAGACTTCTGGAAAGCAGCAACACAGCACTCCTCATTTACACTCGCCCCTGCTCCACCTAAGACCATTACAGGGTGCTACAGAGATGGCTCGGAGGCTAAGAATATGGACTGCTCTTCCAGAACCCCTAGGCTGAACTCCCAGCACCCATATGGTGGTTCACAATCACCTATAACTCCAGTTTTAGTGGATCTAACACTCTCTTCTGGCTTCCATGGGCTCAAAGCACACACAAGGTGCCCAAACATACATGCAGGCAGAACACCCATCTACATGAAAGAAAAATACATTTTAACAAGAATAGGCAGTGTTCTGTGCATCTACTGCATTACCCACAGCAATGTTCCCATGCTGTCCCCATCACAGATTAGAGTACCAGCATGGTAGAGATCTTCAAAGTCTAGTTCCATGCCCGATGAGGAAACACAGAGATCCTTTGAGATGGCTAGCTCCAAATGCAGCTCAGCCTCCCGGCACACACTTGTAAGATACTGGACGCTTCAGCTCTGTTCTGACAACTGTGAGTTTGAAGCATTTCTACCTTCAGGAATAATCAAACTTGGAGCTGGGAGGCAACTGATGTTCAGGATATATGTACATATGTTAAGCTTACAAACCAGGAGGCCATGACAGAGATAATGTGACACTTTAGTCTAAGCTCCATTTCAAGTAAGAACTGAAAGACCAAGTGTATGTATGGTCTTAAATAAAACTTCCAGCGCATGCTTTTCAAAACTCTCCTTTTGTGGGGAGGATAAAGATGAATTGCAATTAGAGAGCAGACGCTGGAAAACAAAAAAGATAAACTTTGCTCCTTCCTGGTTCTATTGGTTGATGCTGGTTGGGTTTCGGTAAGCTTACATAAGCTAGAATCCCCAGGGAAAAGAGGAAACCTCATCTGAGAAAATGCCTCCACCAGGCTGGCCTGTAGGCAAGTCTAGGGGGGCATTTATTTGCCTGACTAAGAATTGGTGTGGGAGGTTCCAGCCCATTGTGAGTGGTGCCCCTCCTGGTCAGGTGGTCCAGGGTACTATTAGAAAGCAGGCTGACTCTGCCACACAGAGCAAGCAGTGGTCCTCCTGGGTCTCTGCTTCAGTTCCTGCTTCCAGGTTCCAATCCTGCTTGAGTTCCTACAGTACAATTGTGATGTATAAGCCAAATAAACCCTTTCCTCCCCCAGGTGTGTTTTGGTTGATCACAGCAACAGGAAGCAAACTAGACCAGGGTCATTACTGTAACCTGTTTTTCCTGCTCCAAGTGGTCCAGGTCAGCTAAGGGCAGCATTGAAGGTCTCCCATGAGCACACTGGAATGGCAGCTGGCACAAAGACAGAGCTTCGATAAGGCGATAGCTCTCCTCGAGGCTCAGGCAATCATTAAACTTAATGGCCCCTAAATGAAAGAGACACCAGAAGGTTATAGTGTGCACGGTGAAAACTCGTGCCAACCGTGGGTCAGGGCTGAGTACCTGGCCAGAGTAACGTATTTCTTAGACTCCTTTAGCCTGGCCTTCATACTACCTGAACCTGGCACCTGAGGTCATGGAGTAAACTAAGGCTTCAGGACTGCCCTCTTGTCTCGGAGTTTGTCCCCATGCTCTCTCAGGGAGGCATTCCTAACCTCTTAGAATCTTGTTTTGGGGATTTTTTCTCAAAGGGCAGTATTTTTGCTTATTTAGGAGTGAGTGAAGTTTCAGTTTTCTTCTGTCTATTAGGTTCAAAAGCAAACTATTTTCTTATAGTGTCTATTTTATTTCCCCTTTTTCTTGATCTCCATAAAGTCTTCCTAATTTAAATCTTCACACATTAGAACATGTTTTTAAGGCCAATTCAGTATCTAATTCAATGAATATTAATGTATATATGCTTTGCATTAGGTGCCTTTTCAGACTGTGAATGAACAGATGTCTCCACCATCATCATGCTCCAACAGGTAAGATAATGTAAAACAAGTCAGTACAATGTAATTTAACTTATCAGTGCTGTAGAACAGGCTAAGCATCTGTAACACACGGCTAACCAGTTTAGAATGCCAAGGGATGCTCTCTTGGTAAAATACTTCAGCTGAGACACTGGGTTAAGAAGACACGATCTGCTGGGTAGTGGTGGTGTATGCCTCTAATTCTAGCACTTGGGAGGCAGAGGCAGGTTGATCTCTCTGAGTTCGAGGCCAGCCTGGTCTACAGAGTGAGTCCCAGGACAGCCAAGGCTACACAGAGAAACCCTGATTTGTAAAACCAAAAAAGAAGAAAGGAGAAAGGAGGAGGAGGAGAAGGAGGAGGAGACATAATTTACTAGAGTATTGGAGAAAGAGCAGAAAGGTATTTCAGGCTCAGGAAAGGCCAGTGCAAGGGTGTCAAACACAGGAGGGATAAGTCCAAATGTAAAGAGCGCGATGGAGTATAACATGGGCTCAAATTCAAACAGCAGCAGGGCCAAAGCACAGAGTCCCTTGTAGACTATGGCCTTTGCCAGGTATGAAAGAAGATGTCTGTGATCCTAGCACTTTGGAGGCAGAGGCAGGAGGAGAGTTTAAGAATATTTTCAGCTATTAAGTTAAGAGACCAACTTGGGCTATAAGAAACATTATCTCAAACAAATTTAAAAAATAAATACATAAAATAATTCTATACCAAAAGTAATAGTAAATGGCAATATGTCTTTCAGATAAAGGATGACATGCCTGGGCTGGAGAAATGGCTCTTTCAGAGGTTCTGAGTTCAATTCTCAGCAACCACATGGTGACTCACAACAATCTATACTGTGATCTGGTGCCCTCTTCTGGCATACAGGTGTACATGCAGATAGTGCACTCATACATAAAATAAATAAATCTTAAAAAAAAAAAAAAAAAAAAAGAATGACATGCTAAAGAGTGGCCTGGCTGGGCATACTGGCACACACCTGTAACTCCAGCAATTCAGAGGCTGAAAAGGGAGGATTGCTATGTTAGGGATCGGCTTATTCTATCTAAGTAGCCTGGGGTACAAACCAAGACTATGCCTGAAAACAAATCCAAACAATTAACAAGGATTCCTGTGGGTGCTAAGAGAACGATTACTTGAGCAGGAGCCAGAAGGGATGTGAGGACTAGGTAGAGGGGTCACTTCTGGCAAGAAGAGAGGCAATGGAGACATCCAGTTAGACTCTGAAGGCACCGATGATGCAGCAGGTGGGATAACAGGGTAGAGGGGCAAAGGACACTGGATTTGCAGGGGCAGAGTAAGCTGGGAGAGGCCGAGGTGAGAAGACTGAAAGGAGGAATAAAACGGGGGAGTCAGTGGGTCAGATAACAATTGCAGGACGTTCCGAAGCCATCACTTCCCTAATCTGAGTCCCGCAATGCCATGTCCTTCACTCATCACATCCCCACCCAAGACCCCTCACTAGACCTGTGTTCCCTACCAGCTCCAACGTTCTCTGTGGAACCTTCTAAGCGTCTGGTCTTTATTTCCAGCCTAATTTCTTGGTACTCTTGGCTGCTCCTCATGAGAGGAATTTACTCCTGGCTTTTGTGGCTCTGCCAAGGCTGCTTCCGCATGCTGTGAGGAGCCGCAGGCTTACTCAGGGCCTGACTCTGAGTACCTCCTGTAGGGCCCATTCTGCTTTGTTAGGCAGTCTGCACCTGAGTTCCATTACTGTTCTACTTTCAAAAGTAATTCTTAAGGAAGATTCAGTTTCTTGACCTAATTATACTCTGTAAAAGGGAGCAGAGAAGGACATTTTGCCTCCCTCACAATCACTCCCCCTGCCAAGGAATCTAGCTGATGCGCAGGCTCTTACCGTGACAAGCCTGGGAGGCCAATACCTTCTGGACAGTCAACGGCAATGTCCCTTGGATGCCTCCTGTGGTCTGGAGCAGCTACATTATTAATAAAGGGGAAACGAGATAATGAAGCCTTTGTGTGTGACACTTCAGAATGACATCCGCAAATAAGAGAAAAGCTTACCTCCACTTGTTCTCGAATAAATTCCTATAAAGCCAAAAGGAAAATAGGCATGAATCTACTGTTCTGTTGTACTTGCCCTTTTAGCATTTAAAAACATCCTCAGTGACACAGGAAATAACCCCAACAATTAAGAAACATGATGACATGAAATCAAAAAGCAAATGCACAGCAAAAGAAACTATCAAGAGAGGGAACAGAGAGCCTACAGGTGAGGAAAATCTTTGCCACTAATACAAGAGGTTAACATTTAAAATAAATTAAGAGCAACAAATTAAACACCTACACACACAGACAAAACTGCCAATCAATAGTTGGGCTAATGAACTGAACGGACAATTCTCAAAAGAAATATAAACAGTCAATAAATATTTTTAAGTGTTCAGTGTTCCTAGCCATCAGACAATGAAAATTAAACCTTCTTTGAGATTCCATCTCACTCTAGTCAGAATTACAATCATTAAAAAACAAAAGTAAATTAAATACAAAAAGCCAGATGGTAGTGGTACATGCCTTTAATCCCAGCAATTGGGAGGCAGAGGTAAATCTCCAAGTTTAAGACCAGCCTGGTCTACAGAGAGAGTTCCAGGACATCCAGGACTACACAAAGAAACTTTGCCTCTGGAAAGCCAAAACCAAAACCAAAACCAATAAAAACCCAATAGAACAAAACAAAAACAAAAAACAAAACAAAGGAAGAAAGAGAACAAATGACAAGTCCTAGCAAGGATGTGCTGTAGAAGGAACTCTCATCGGTTGTTGATGGGAATGTGAACAGCAGCAGCCACTACAAAAATCCTTGTGAAGTCTTCTCAAAAAGCTCAAATACAACTACCACATAAGCCAGCTGTCCCACTGGTGGGCATGTGCCCAAAGGACTCCATACCCTCCCATGGGGGTGCTGCTCATCCATGTCCACTGCTGTTCTTTCACGTGGAAAGAGAGTGGAACCAGACGAGATAGCCAGTAACAGATGAAGAGACAATCAAAAGGTGGAAACATACAAGTGAGGTAACCTAGACTCACAAAGACAAGCAGTCTACGTTGTCTCTCATGTGCAGATCTCAGTTGCCATTTGTTAATGATGTGTATCTAGGTGGGCAGAGGCTACAAACTAGCAAAAAGCTCCTGAGACAGAGCGGCTTTGAGGGGAAGGGGACAAAGGACAACAGAACACAGGAAATATTAAAGTAGAAAGGATTCAGCGGGGAGAAGGGAGAGCAGGTAGATGGAAAGGAGGTCAGGGGCAATCAACCGAAAGAAAGTATGAAAATGCCAGAAAAAATGTTACTGTGTAAGCTCATTTTTAAGATTTAGTTTTATTTTAGTGTTATGCGTATGGGTGTTTGCCTCCATGCTTGTCAAGTTAAAAGGCTTATTTTCCAAAACACGTCTCAGAAGCTTCTCCTCCCTTGGGTATCTTTGTCCTTATGGAGACTTTTTTTCCCCTTCAATACACTCTTGCTATGAAGCCCAACCTGGTCTTGAACTTGTCATCTTTCTATCCAAATCTGTCTACACTCCTTTACTTACAAAATGAATTAAAACCTAGGGCCAGTGGGATGGCTCAGTAGGTAAAGGCACCCCAAGATTCCTAGGGTGGAAGGAGAGATTTGCTGCCTGATACCCACACACCCACAGTAAAATTTTAAAATTAATTAATCTTGAGACATGGTTTCTCTGAGTAGCTCTGGCTATCCTGGAACTCACTCGATAGACCAAGCTAGGCTCAAATTCAAATCTGCCTGCCTCTGTCTCCCCAGTGCTCGGATGAAAGGCGTGTGCCACTGGCTAGAATGAAAAATTTTAATTAAAGCTGATACTACTTAATATTGTCAATTTGTTTAGTTTCTGGAGGCAAAAAAAAAAAAAAAAAACAACAAAAAACAAAACAAAACAAAAAAAAACTGTTTCAAGGCATGGTACATTTAATAATTTTTTAAACAAAATACAGGATTTATTACTTCTGATAACAGCTATAAATCAGCTTCGTAAGATTACAGAAGGATAATTCTTTTTGAAACTTCGAAATGAAATCAAACATTCTCCTCTTCTCCATATGCTCTAGTCTGAAAAGCTTTATAAATGCACATAATTACCAAGGTGCAAGACACGACACTGTAAACACTTAAACCTGAGGAGAAGAACGTCTCCCAGCACCTGACCCGTGCAAATGCAGCCTAACTCCTCTCTGCTGTGTGGGTGAGTGGGCTGCGCATCACAGCTGAAAGCCTGCAAAGAGCAAGAAGGGTCTCATTTTCGGCTCATTTCTTATTTCAGTTAGTGTAGATGGTTTAATAATGTTAAAAAGGCCCAGTCATGCCAAGCATGGTGGTGCAGGCCTTTGATCCCAGCAGGTGGCCAGGGCTGTTACACAGAGAACCCTGTCTGAGGAAAAGAAAGAGAATGTATCAATGACTGTTGATTGCTAGGATTCATGAAGTTACCTGTCTCAACACTGAATTGCTCCAACTTCTTCCAAAATCAACGGATTTGCCTACCAGCCTGACTTAACGTAATCAAATTTCCTGAAACCATAGGCTTTGAAGTAAGCTCTTTAAGAGCTGTTTTTGAAGTCACTTCAGAAGTTTTTATTATAATTTTCTGGTTAAAACTTTAGGTATTGAATTACAGTAAGATTCTCACAGATCCTATCTTTTGGATTCAACACAATTCGAATCCAAATCCAAAGCAGGAGTCTGTGAAGAAATGAGCTCTGTGGGCAGCAGAGAGCTCTGTGGAAAGTGAAGCCGAGGCTTCTCACCAACTGCCAACTTGAAAAGGGGAGGCAAAGGTAACACAAAGGCTGGACTGGCACCCTCCGCGGCAAATGCCCTCAAGTCCTTCTGTCTTAGGACAGAATGTCCTGCAGTCTCTGTCCTGCGCATGCAAACTCAAACTGCTGCCCTGCAGCCACTACCCAGCCACCCAGCTCCTCCTGCACAGCTGGAGGCTTTGGTCTCTTTTTTTTTTAGTGTTATGGAAGGGCAAGGGCTTTGTACATGGTAGGCAAGCACTCTACCTACCTACCATGGACCTGCATCCACAGCCTTGTAGGTTTTGTTTGTTTGAGACAGACAGACAGACAGACAGAGAGAAAGAGAGGACGAGAGGACTGCCCTGCACAACCCACAATTGGCTAGTTGGCCTAGACTTATGTAGCTCAGGCTAGCTTCAAGCTTGTAATCCCCTTGCCTCAGTACCCTGAGTGCCAGAATTATAGATGTATGACACCAGGTTGGCCAGAGAGTTGAGAGTTATTAGGCTTCAGTCCTGTCATCCCAGTGGGAAGACTCAGAAGATCAACCAAGCTTTCAGTAACTCCAAGTGCTCAGGCTTTCCTTGCGGCCACTGTGACTATTTCCTCTTGCTTGCAGCTTTACTTAGTTTAGACAACGTTACCTTTCCTAGACTCTCCCTTCCTCAGTATTGTCGCTCATCTTCTGGCTACTTTTCAATGTCACTTCCTTGGCCTTCCACTCATCCTCAGCAGTATGTTCTGTGCTGAGGTCGCAATCACCACCCCAGCAGGCAGGCCGCTCTTTACTGCTACCTCTTCAGCAGCACCACTGTCCTGTCTTCAAGCTGCAACTCTTGGGATCACTGTCGGGTATCTTCCTCCTTTATTGTTTTGTGCTGTTTCTGCATCAGATCTTCTGGAGTCTGCCTCATATCCAGCTGTCAAATCTGTCGCTCCTCTCCATTCCCACTACTTCTTAGTCAATCTTCAACCAGTACACTAACCTAAACTGCTCACCTGCTTCCAGCCTTTCCCAGACTTGCACGTCTACCCTAGCTTAGCCACTGTCCATCTTCTAATCTTTGTGTTTTATTTTCTTTCATTGTTTTTATGTGCATGTACATGTGTACATTCATGCATGCACATACACATGCCATGGTGTGTACTTGGAGGTCAGCGGATAACCTGAGGGAGTCAGTTTTCTCATTCTACCATCTAGGCTCTGAGGATTGAACTCAGGTCAGACGGGGCCACAGCACCTTTACCCGCTGAGCCATCTAGCTGCCTCTGAGTGCTTTGCCTAAATGTATGTATGTGCATCACATGTGTGCCTGGTGGCTGTGAAGGACAGAAAAGGGCACTAGAGGCCCTGGAATTGGAGTTACTGATAGTTGTGGGCCAACACTTCAGTGCTAGGAACAGAACCCAGGGCCTCTGCAAGAGCAGCAAGCGCTCTTCACTTCTAAGCCATCCCTCCAGCCCCCGCCCCCAAGTCTCACTGTGAAACACTAGTTAGCTTTCCCCTGCTTCCTCACTCCTCAGCCTCCTGCGCCAGGTGCCACCTGAGTAGCTCTGGGGCACACTTTCCAAACACACCTCAACTCTCCACACTCCACTCTATTGTACCTAACTCTCCTTCCTCCTTACTGTGAGCTGAGTCCTCTCTAAAGTTTCTAGCGCCTGGCACACTGAACATAACACAAACGTGTGCTGACTAAAGCCAAACACTGAAGTTAGTGGCACTCAGCAACTTCCCGAACACTGGAAGATGTCTCTCACCTCCACAATGCTCTTCGTCACAGTAGATCTTCCTCTTCGAAGTTCATTGGCTTCTCTTTCTACAAAGCAGAGCGGCACTTTCCCCACAAGGATCAAAGCATCACTGGCATCTGGAAAGAGCAACTCAAGGCCCAGATCTTCTAAGTGTTTGTGGTAAGACCTAAGGATGTAAAATCAGAACTTCACTTACTTCAGTGCTAGCTCCAAACACTCAATAGCTTTCAAAAACTCCCATGACCTTTGGAAGTCATATTGTTTTCCTTATGTTTATATGTGTTTAGGGTTTTATTATCAAATTTCCTTTTCAATTACAGTAATTCTCACTCACAGTTACACTTTCTAAGAATTCAGTTACTTGTGGTTGACTGTGATCCAAAAAAATAAATGGAAGATTCCAGAAGTAAACTTTTTTCTTTCTTTATTTTGGGGAGTGAACTGGGACCCTGCACATGTTAAGCATATGGTCTACCACTGAGCTACATCCCCAGCCATAAAATGTAAACTGATGCTGCTGAGAAGTATGATAACCTCTCAAGCTGTCCCACCGAAGCACCCTTGGCCAGGTCACCCACACTGTACATGCCACACACCTGCTAATCCCTTCATTTTCAGACTGCCCAGGACCACAGCTTTAAAAACAGAATTTATCTATGATCTTTGTATCTGATGTATATGATTAGCCTGCATGCATGTGCACCACATGCTTGCCTGGCACCTGTGGAGTCCAGAAGAGGGCACTGGATCCCCTGCAACCAGTTACTGTCAGCTGTGAGACTTCATGTGGTTGCTAGAACCCACACCTGGGTCCTCTGCAAAAGCAGCAAGGGATCTTAAGCATCGCACCATCCCTCCGGCCCAGTACTGCAGTTTTTATGCTCAAGCAATCCTTATTTTAGTTCATAATGTCCCCAAAACACATTAGTAGCGATGCAAAGGAGGCACAAAATATGAAAGACTGACCATGGCGCAACGTGGAGACGCTATAGGTATGCCATGCGGTTAGCCATGCTACAAGGGGATCGTCTACAGGGAACACAAGGGTTTTACAGGGATCATACTGCTGTTTGCAGGTATCTACTGGGGTTTTAGAACAAATCCATCACATACAAGGGAGGACTACTGTATACTACCTTTTTTTTTTCCTTTTGTTCTTCTACTGCAGGGACCAATTTGCTTCTAAATCTTATTCTCAAGTTTCATTCTTCACTAAGGAACTAACTTTCTGCCTGCATTTAAAGGAGTTTGGCTCAAAGAAAAGGTCTGAAAATGTTTTGAATTAGTGTTAAAAGAGGAGGTAATTAACAGCCCCAAGAACTGAGGAGTCCTGCTTGGGGATGTGTTGGTGGCAGTAAATAAGTAAATTACGCTCTAGGGAAAAAAGCTGTATTGGCAGCGGTGGATACCAAACCTGAAATGAACTGACAGTCTTTTCATTTTCAAAAATTTATGCTGCCCAGAAGTAGGAGAGTGTCTTATGTCTTATCCTGTGACTTGCTCCAGGACTGGCCCCACCCTGGCATCCCAGTGTTTTGCTTCTTGCTAATAACATTATGGAAATGAAGAGTCTAGAATGAACCAAGACAAGAAGAATGGAAGCAATTACTACCCTGACTTTGCTTTCAGAAACACTGCAGCATAAACACTTGGCTGTTCCAAGAATGAGAAGTGTATTCTAAACCAACTGCTGGAAAAAATTACCCGGGAAATTCTATCCTATACTCAGTATCTATGCTACAGCAGGAAGAAAGGCTTTTGGGGTCAGAAGACAGGCTTGGAGCCTGCTCCCCTGCTAACTGTTAAGTCCTTGGATAAGCCATGCAACACTCCTGTCTCGGTTTCCTTCTCTGGAAAAAAAAAAAAAAAAAAAAAGGAATGGATGCAGAAACCTCACAAAGCTTTGTAAAGCTTTGTATGGCCCGCACCATGTCCTCACGACGTTACTGACCGTAAGAGTCTCCTCTGTCCCTCTGACACTGTGATTGCTAGTGGAGGAATTATCGTGGAAGACAGTAATTTCTTCCGACCAGAGCTTTGTGGCGCTTGCTTCTCATAGGAGTCTATTGGAAGAAAGAACAATGAGACAAGAATAAGAAGGGAGGGCTTTTGCGTTCAGTTAAAAGGATGTTTGCTGAGGCATAGCCATGCTAAGAGTTCTCTAGAACTAAGTAGTGTGTTCAGTGTTTGTTTCTACAGTTTGGATTCTGGCAGTAAGCTAAGGGGTAGCCAGCCACTTGACTCATTTTAGCAGTTTTCCAGAATAAGAAACAGAAGACTAAACTCCTACATCCAGATCAACAAGGCAGTGCTCCTATCGTTAATATGTGTGGCACTGATACAGATATGTATATAATGTGGCATAATGTCTATATAACGCTGTAAGTCAAGAGGATTTCTTGGCTCCTTCAGAAAGGTTTCTCAGTCTTTGAAAAGAATTAGCCAGTATTATTTTCAAATGGTGTAGCAAATAAGTCTGGGTATGAATTTTTTAAAAATATCATTTAATTTTAAAAAGTTATGTATATGGGTATTTTGCCTGCATGTATGTCTGTGTACCATGTGTGTTCCTGGTGCCCACAGTAGCCAGGAGAGAGCATCAGAACCCGTGGAACTGGAGTTACACAGAGTTGTGAGCTGTCATTTTGGTGCTAGGAATTAAACCTGGATCTTCTGCAAGAGCAGCAAAGTGCTTTTAACTTCTGAGCCATCCCTCCAGCCTGATACTATTTATTATTATTATTATTATTATTTTATTACTTTGTGTGCCACGGCCCACATCTGGAGATCACAGGACAGCTTTTGAGGATCAGTTCTCTCTGTCCATCTTTATGTAGATGAGGATGATGGGGACTGAATTCAGGTTGTCAGCTTGCTCTGCAAGTGTTTGCCAGCTAAGCCTTCTCCCTGACCTGTAAGTTTGTTTTTAATGAACCCAAATTTTTACTTGTTCATTTCCTGCATTTCAAGCTATTTTGATGACTTCGTCAGTCTGAGATTCTTTGCCAATCCTTAACTGCCGCACATCACAACCAACCACTTCAGTAACTGTTATGACCTTGGAAAAGCCATGGAAAGACAAAGCTTCTTGATCTTCCTTTCTTCCTCTGATACTTTTTATGCAAAATCCCACAATTTTGTGCAGCCAGTTCGTTTCTTGCAGTCATCAGCCTTCTGACAGTTGAGAGCTCAGTGTAGAAGGCCTCCATTTAACGTGCTCTTTGTGAAGATAGGTTTGTACAAAATTATCATGAAATCAAGACACTTGAGCAACAAATATCAGCGTAATATTTAGTGAACTGAATATGGTGATTGATTTGTTAGCTGCTCAGCGAGACTTAGCAACTAGCCTCTGGATACTGTGAAACTGCTGACCAGCACCACAACCTACACATTTCTCAAACCACTGTATGTCACCCAGCAAAGGAGTAAGGGACAGCTCACAATTTAAGCCTGAACTCAAAGTTAGTAATTTTTCTCCCGCTGTATTTTACTGTATCTTTCCAAACTCCTAGGCCTTCATTTTATAAGGCAAAAGAAAATGGTGGTGACATTATTGCTATTCCAGTTCATAAAAATCTCCCTGGATTCTCACCTAATTCTTTGACATTAAGGCTGTCCATTATCTTATCATAGGAATCAAGATTTTCCTGGTAATTTAAATAAGGGTGTAGTGGCACATACTTGGAGCATTTAAGGCCAGCCTGAACCACAGAGAAACTGTCATTTATTTATTTATTTGTTTGTTTGTTTGTTTGTTTGTTTTTCAAGACAGGGTTTCTCTGTGTAGCCTTGGCTGTTCCTGGACTCACTTTGTAGACCAGGCTGGCCTTGAACTCAAAGAGACCCGCCTGCCTCTGCGTTCCTGAGTGCTAGGATTAAAGGCATATGTCCACCATGGCCAGCTATTTATTGGTATTTATCACTTGGTGAAGACAAATGCCTCTCAATGACAGAGATTTTTTTTTTT